CTAATTTCTCATCAACAATATGCTTAGTGGTTGCCAAACTTATCCCACCAATCTTTCAAAGACAAGCACATTACCCCATTAGTCAATACAGTCTTTGCACAGTTTCTGTAATGATGTTATATGTGAAAGTCATCTCGAAACCTGAGTTTAGGGTCATAATCTGTAAAGATGCAAAGAGAGCACGGATGTACCTTCACATTTCATAATGCAAGGGAATTTGATGAAAAGGTGACTGATTTTATGGGATATTTTTAACTAAAATGCCAAAGATCTCTCCTTTCAGAAGGCTAGTGTAGTCTTTAATGAGCAGACAGCCTTTGGAGTGAGTGTTTTTTAACATTAAGGTTTTAATTCCTCCAAGTTTTAACATGTTCTTATGAAATGGTTAATCAATGGGAGAACACTGAGTCACTTAAAGAATGGGTCAAGAATTAAAGTAGTTTTTTGAACTGCACACAGAGTTACAAAAAGAAGATAGAATAGACTTTTGAAAATGAAATGCAAGTTGTTTTCTATTAATTTTTTTTTTTAATAAAAGGATTAAGCTTTTTTTAGTTCCATAGAATATGAAACTCTACTTGCTGAAGGAAAAGAAAACTGATTGAAAAGATTTAATGCACTCCATACCACAGGAATGGTGTGAAGAAAGATTGCAGTGTAACACTGGAAGTCTCCATCAGCATAGGGGTGAATGTATTTTTGTCAGCAAAGACTTAGAGAAAACAAAGGGAAATATGAAGACTATATTTCTACCAGGACTGTGACATCAAAGCACTTTCTTAGGAAACACTTGAGGAGATATGTCTTGTGCCTGCAGCACCAGCTGCAAAGCCTCCTTCCAACACATCATTTGTATTCTCAGCCTGGCTTTGCCAAAGGTATCTGATTAAGAAGCTGAAACTACCAGTCAAATGAGAACTCAGTCTAAAATGTTGTTACCTTAAATGCCATGATATTGGGAATACTTGATCATACATGTTGTTCCACACCAGACTTCATTACCTTTTAATTTTTCTTTTTTCCTGCGGCTAACAGGGTAGATTTACTTCTTCCTGCTCAATCTCGGTCTGATTCAGCCTTTGTTTCCATTCACACAACCAGAACTCTCGCTCAGGCCCTTATCATTTCGTGTCTTGACAACGCCAGTTATCCTCCTTCTAGTCTCAACAAATACTGGCTTGCAACATGTATATTTCTTAAAATATTTTTCTTCTTGTTGTTTTGATGTTCCATTGTTCTGCCTCTTGTACTGTGGGATTATTTTCTTTAACTTTTTAGGCCGCACCTTACCATCTCTTATTTGCTTGCACTGCTGACTGTATGGCATCTTCTGTGCCAGTCTTTATTCCCCTTTTAAGTGTCTCCAGCAAGTACCTTTAAATTTCCCCTATCCTATTTAATGCATGGTATTAACTAAAAATCTCAAGTGCTGTTTCATTCCTTCTTAATTGGGATCTCTTAGTTCTGCTGCAGTTTGACTATATAATAATAGTACTAACCTGATTTTACAAGGCTTGTGAGAATTTTTGGCTACCACCAAATGGCACTAAGTTCAACCAGTACTAAACATGACTCTTATTAAATACACTGTAGTCATATGCCCTAAGTAAAACTTGTCCATTACAATATTATGTACTAAAGCTCACCAGGAAAATATTGTAACGTCTCATCCATATCACTCCATCTAATATGATTTTCTCAATGGTGAGTTGATAGTAGTATTTTTGTGTGTGTGTAAAAATAATAAGTTTTTTTGCAGATATGGTTATGGTATTTTTCCTTGTGCATGCTAGCATAGCATAAGAATTTAATTACTATTTAGATACTTTAGGCTAATTTTAGATTCCTCTGGATTTCTCCAAACTGCCAACAGCTTAAAAACAATGGACACTCAAATTCCCTGAATATCATCTATCTGTCTTTATGAGGTCCTTTGCACCAAGATTTTGGTGCAGGTCCGAGTGCTGATTTCCACTGCATTGCAAGACACTTCCCATTACGCTGCATACACAATCAGGCATTGCAGTATTCAATGGAACAATACTGAAATCCTGTTGAGGAATCTGGCATAAATCTCATCTAAGAATGAGAATTAGGGTCATAATTTCAAGGATCTAGAAGTGTATAATGGCTAGGATAATCAACTAATAGTATTTCCAAAGAAGTATAAGCAGCTTATGTTGTTTTTACGTAATTTTCAGATTTCACAAATTTCTAGGTTCCTCTCCCCAGTCTCTATTCGCATGTGAAATCAAACAATTTAGAAAAAAGCAAAATGTTTGGGTGATGAGCAAGTGGAAGGGAAACTTATCTAGTTATCTACTTGTGTATCACAGTGGCTTTAACTACTTCATTACATGTCCATTAGTTCATGTTACAGTTGATACCAAGTTAATCCTATTAGAATTCAGTAGGTTACACAGCTTTGGAAGTGATAATATGGGAGGCTTCTGGAAGGAAGTAGTTTGTAGCCCTACATTGCTATGAAAAATTTCTTACTATCTTCACTGCAAGCTGGGAGAAGGAAACCATGGGCTCTTAGGGATCATGAAAGAGATTACATTATTACAGAAAACAGCAATGTTTTTGTTAGAAGCTCATCATCATGGCTGGGCTTCGCGAACGAAGATTTGAGGAGGGCTCTACCCACGCTTGCTGCAAGCGTGCTGATGGCTAAAAAGGCCAACACGAGATAGACAAGTCTGGTTGCAGAAGGCACAGTGGAAATATCACCCTAAGTGATATTCACAAGAAGAAGCTCATACACTACCAAAAAAAAAAAAATATATTGAAGTATTCCGAGTAAATTTCCCAAATAGGTTGATGGCAACTGTCTAGACGCTGTTTTAGTTTTTACCCTGCTGGAGCAGGGAGATTGGGCCAGATGACCCACTGGGTTTCCTACCAAATTTACGCATTCTGTGATTATGTGATTCCCAAATATTTATTTCTCCTTCTAATCAAGGTCAGCATAACCCAAGAAATTATTTCCCAGATGCAGTAAATCTTAACTTTCCCTTCTGATTTAATTTTGAAGAGTGAATTGTATTGAACTTTTCTTAAGCAGTTTAGTTGAGATTTCTGTTTATTCTGGAGAAAATAATCATAGAAAATAATTTTATAATATGGTTAATCACTACTGTGGCAGAGCAAATTCTGATGCAATTAATTTGCAAATGTATAACATTACTGTATATGTCACTGATTTCTCATAACTTCTATTTGTGAAAAAGTCTATAGGAAAATTAATTTGAAATTTAAATGTACATATAATTATTGGATGAAGAAGTACTAAGAAAAGTGAAAAGTAACAAATAAAGAAAACATGGCTATAAAAATAGTGGGATAAAGGCTGTCTATAAACATTCCCATTTCTGTAATTATTAACAAAAACAGTCTACAAAGTTTTTACTGTATTCTGAAACTATGCAAAACTGAATTAGAAAATGTTTAGGTATAAATTTAGCATATTTAAAGAAACATTCCTTATAGAATGCTGCGGATTGAAAACTGCATTTGTAGACAATGTGATAACTGTAAGAAGGATATCTTGTGAAATGGACCTTTATTAAGCTTGATCACTGCAAAATAAAGATCCAATTAAGGAATTGAAGAGATAAAGAAGAACCATCTGTGAGGGAATTTGCCACTGATCTAATGATAAGCTAATTTTTCAGATAAAGTGGGTACTATGCTTTGCAGGGAATGAGGTAGAGAAGTTAGAAATTTTTGCCAGGAACATGAGCAAATTGGATAAAAGCAGGGGAAAAAATGCTTGTAGGTCATCAGTTAAACAAAACTTCATAAACACATTCTTGCTTTCTAGATGGTGACATTGCATTTCTCCTTATTTCTGAAAATGCTTGAAGCAATGTAGTAGGAAATGTCTTTTTTACCCTGAGGCATCTTACCTGATTTCCAAAAGCCAGCAGTGACCATATGCACTAAAGAACATTTTGTCCCAGAGGTTATGTTAGTGTGCATGATATAAAGTTTCCCATGATGGAGTGCTTCACATGGCCTGGTCAAGATTAATATCACAGGATATCATCATGACTTGCTTTGTTACTCTGGCTGCACAAATAAGGCTACTGAGAAAACCAGAGACATTTGTTTGGAACTCACTCAGATCAGGTGAAGGTGATAGTGTGGTATTGCAGGTGCTTTCTGAAATGCTAAGCTTTGCCTGTGCACATTGGTAAGTCACGTAAATGACAGCTCAATTTGTAAATAAAAAGCTTCCAAAATTGCCAAATGTTTGAGATTTTTCTCATTACAGAAATCTTTGATTCTATGTATTTTGCATGATCAGGACCAGTAACTAAGTTACTTAGATCTTGTCTGTCTGGAGCAGATCAGGAAAATTAAAGATATTAAGGCTATGTGTGTCACTGAAGTATTTTAAATCCCACCTCCTACTTGCTATATATTCCCTTCTCTTCAATGAGCTTTGCTATAGAACTTTACCTGCTCAGCTTACATTAATATTAATGTTGTGTAATGTAGTTCTACATTCCCTAAGTAAGATAAGAGGACTTAAAAAGCACAAGTAGACGGACCCTGCTATAGGATAAAGGCAGATAAAATATGTTCTACAAGGAACTTAAGTATGATATTAAACATTGAGATATACATTTAATCTCTGTATATAAAATCAGCACCTTTCTGATCACATCATTCTATTTATTAATAATGTTAAGGAGACATTTATCCTATTTTTTTAACTTCTGTAGTAGTATCACTTCAAAGGTTGCTATGTCCCAGCCTTTGTAATTGGCTTCTTTATTTTATCTAAACTTTTTAGATACGGTTAAATGTATTCTATGATTGCCAGTACTATAGGTGCCACCTGCCACGACAGGACTCGTAACTAATCCAGTATTTGCTGGTCAAGTGAAAAAAATATTATTACTGACAAGTAAGCTGCTTAAATACTTTGTTTCATCCATCTGCTGTTTTATTTTGTTGGGTTTTTTTTTCCTTTTCTTTTCAAAATACAGGCACATTCAGATCACAGCTACTTTTGATCCTGTCAGCTACTTGCCTCATTTAACGGAGAGATAGGTATGTTGCATGAGTAGTGCTTGAAGCTTGATTTCTTTGGCCAAAGGGTATCTCTTTATTTTAGTTTGTTTTGTTTTGCTTTCCTCTTACCTTCTTGATGCTGGGGAGTATCTTTAGGACAACCTATTGCTGAGTGTGTCCACTCAAGTTTGTCGAACAAAGAGGCAGCACAGGACTCAGTCATTCAGATAAAGCTTGCAGAACTAGTCCCTGAAGCTTCCCCATCCCCAAGACATTTTGCTTGAAGCTGGTTTTTGATATAAAGCTTCAGTTCTGGCCTTTGTGAAGAAATAACGAGTGGTAGATGGTTGAAGGCCAAATGCCAACCATATTTGTCACTTTTTGCAATACATCTTAAGTAAATTAAGTTTGCAAGAACCCTAAAATAGCACTTAATCCAGAGGTGGCTGTATACAGAAATTGCACCATCTTTCATAGCAATGAGCCACAGTAGTCAAACTGAATCCAAAAGACTTATTGTGGATTGGGTGATGTCGTGAAGGTCCAAGGCTGAGCCTGAAGTACATAAATGCAAGTATCTCTGTTATTCATCTTTTACATTTTCCTATATAAAAGTGTGTCCTAATATTTAATGTCTATTTAATTTTCTATTTTCTGCCTTTTTCAGTCCGCAGTGATGACGACAACTATTCCTGTGTAATACATGTAGTATTTCTTCTGTTCTTAACATGCTTGATTTATTTTTATCAACTTATTGGCCTTTAGCTACTAAAGCAGTTACAGCACTCCATAATATAAAAGCAGTGGACACCTTGCTGACATTTAATTAGTATCAGTATTGGATCAATTTAAAATTAAAACTGAAAAAAGAAAAGTATTTTGTTCTGTGCACACATAGTTTTGATAGCCAAATGAATCCTTTTCTTTAGGAATGATTGTCTTAAACACAACAAATGAGATCCAGTTTGGACACAAGTTCTTAGTCATTGGAGAGAAAATGGAAAGGGTTTGCTGATAAATGATCCTGTCAAAAAACAGCTCAAAATATAGGAATTACATTTCTGCACTAATAGAAGTTGGTATAAGATCTGTTCTGTCTTACTGTGGAAGCCTCTCAGAATTTTTATGCTGGTTTCCAAGATGCCTAGCTCAAAATTTGATGTCAGTAAGCCTACTGGCATTTTACAAGCAAAGATGATCCCTACCAATTTCAGATAATGCGCTTAAATCTACAGTCCCAAAGAAAGACTTGGTTTTTAATAGTAGTAATCCTTTAATTGACTGGGTGTGGAAACACCACAGGGGCCTCTTCTGGGTTCCCTGGTGAGAGGCTTTCTGTGCATAATCTACTTTTTTTAAAAAACCTGTTAAAAAGCTCAGTAAGTTTTTAATCTGTTCCTTGAGTATTTGTAAAGCCATTACGTTTGATACATTTAAGGATACAAATGCACTTTATGCAGCTGGTATTAAGATGCAGAGTAAGTATTGGATGAAATTAGAGTTAAACAGAAGCTAGCAGAAAATTTTGTCCACTGGGAGAAACATACTTTGGAACTGTATACCAGAAAAACACAATTATTTTGTGAAGGGGAATAGAGGATAAGAATATAGACATCTTCATTTTTATTCACGTTTGTCACCTAAGAAGTTTATAGAAAGTGTAAGCTCCAATGTTTTTATGTCTTTTAGCCCCTGATGGCTTGTCCTTTCATTGGGCTCCAAATTGGTTCCAAATGTCCTGCAAACAAGCGTGGCGTATTTGTGATATTAAAATATTTACTAATAATATTGTTTGCAATATTTCCTGTCTTTCTGAGCACCTGAGAGTTAAAGTAGACTAAGAATAACCAGCAACATTTTTTGAAACATAGCAGGTTGAACCAACAGAATAATGAAATTATCCTGGCTACATTTTATTAGCCTAGGAAATCTTATGCAATATCTGCCAAATGTGTGATTGTATTACAGCACATAAAAGTGCACCAAATTGTACCTTATTTAGAATAAAGTACACTAAATATCTTCCTTGTAACTTTTTTTGCAATGCAAGGCACCTACAAGTAGTGAAAGTGTTCTTTCTTCATACTAATGGAGTTTTAAAGCTCATTTTATTTGGCAATTGTTTATTTCAACTGGAACTTCTATAGCAAGTTTGTGGTAGGACTGGCTGGAGCTAATTTTATTAAAAAATAAGTACTCTAAACACATCAAAATTTTAATTTTAGTTGCTTTTTGTAACCTAATTTCTTCATTTGCAACTAACTACTGCATTATAGAGAACTTAAGTGAAAATATTGGTATTTAATTCTTTTGATCTTTTAAAATATATTTGAAATCAATAAAATACAGTAATTTCTCTCATGAGTAAATCAAAAGAGAGTGTATATATTCAAAAGTACCAAACTTTTGATGCTCCTTACCTCTTCCCTCCCTGTTGATATTCACTCACTTAGGTATTTTTCTCTTATCCTCATAAATCTGCATATTAATTTGGGGGTTTGTTATTTTTTTTTTCCATTTCCCCCATTGTGAGGATTTTTCATCCTTTCCAAAGCACAGAATCCCAAAGCATGGCTTGAAGTCCAATCTACTGTAGATGGCTCGCCAAACCATTAAATCCCTAAAATGTCTGTTGACAATTGAAATCTTTAACAGAAAGAACAATTTTAAACTTCTTTGCATTTTTTTCTTGTGATATTGGGTGATCTAGCACTTTTTTTTTTCCTGGAATTAGAGACTAATTCACTGTTTAACCTCCTGTGTCTGATCAAGTTACTTCTGCCAAGATGAGGTATTAGAAGAGAGCTGAGAATATAATTTCATCCTCAGTTTTAAATGTTTTACCACTGCAAGTAGACAAGTTTTTACACTGTAATGATAAATATGAGATATACCCATTTTAGAAGCTATTGATTCTATATGAATATCCTGGGTTTGCAAGTCTGATTTGGGAAAAAGTTACTATCATGTCAAAGAACAAACTGAAAGAATCTTTAGATACATGTTATGTTATGTGCATCTTAATTCCATGTCAAAAAACATTATTTCCTAGCTATTACTGAAGCTGGTGTTAGCAAAGGCTAATATCTTTCCATGAGGGGAGAAAAGATAAAATAAACTTACTGCACTGTGCCAATATTCAGTGTTCTAGTGCACATCTGAAAGGCACTACAGGCAGTCCAGGACAGCTCTCTACCTGCAAAGTAACTCAAAAATTTGACAGGCAATAATTTGAATCTTGATTAGGGCTGTGTTAATGACTTCCTAATTCCTCTAAAAATTACTAAAGATAACAGTAAACATATTTTTAATGAAACTAAATGCTTAGGTGCAGTTTTATTAAAACTAGCACTGGAAGTAAAGGTTGCTCCATGATGTTCAGTGACATAACTGACAATGATTAGGCATTTCATACTGTATTATTTCCTTTTAGATTTTTGAGAAGCTTGATTTAAATAAATTTTTAATTTATTCAGAATTTTAGCAGAAGACTAGGATCAGGGGTTTTTTTCATCTGTTCAGTGAACATGAAATCTGTGGACTTCCTTTTTCAACTTCCTGATTGGTGAAATGGGTATAATACCATGCTGGAAATTCTTTTAGAGTTGAAGTTTTTGAGAAGCTTTGAAGATTAAGTACAAAGTGTTCATTGGTTTCAAAGCTAATCTGGTAGCAAAAAAAGAGGAGCAAAATATGTCTGAGGGAGAAAATGCTTTGTTGGGGACATGTCTGATATAAACTGCTCTTTAGGTACAGAGATGGGGCATTATTCGATTGTGTTACAGAATAGAGTGCAGGACTAAAGGGTTACAAGTGGAGCAGTTTGGTATTTGGGACCCAGGGTAAGTGAAATCCAGTTATTCATTGTATTTTGGTTTCACTTTTTATGAGAGTCTATCACAGAAGAAAAAGAAATCATAGAGGATCTTAAACTTTCTTCTCTTCTGTTTCTGTCCCTTGAACTGTTTGTCTCACAGAGATTTACTGAACTAGATACACCAGTGTTCATATGTTGGGCCCTTCCAAGCTCTGCTGCCTGCAAGTTACACCAGAGCAGTTGTTCAGTGCTGCTGTCAGGGCACTGACAGACACTGATTGCCCTGGCGGGTCAGAAACCATCTCTCTCTGTAATTTTCCTCTGCAGCCTCTTCTCACCATCCCAAGCATTTACATGTCTGTGTTTGAGGTCAGCTCTGGTGTGGCACATCCATATAACTTTTATTTAGACTGCTGTGGAACGGAGTCAAGTTGAGAGATCAATCTGTCAGAAGTGGAAGCAACTCAGTGGTGAGAAAGAGTTGTAAGAAGCCTCACCTGGGGCCTCCAGTCTTACACCTCTGCCCACTGACTCAGGACCTGCATTTAAACCCTGGCCTTTGGCTTCCAGGCTTCACTTGGCACCTGCCTTACTGTTGGCCA